TTAGTAGGAACATATGGGGAAGAGGTTGATGTAGCAAGGTTGAAGAGAGAAAGCAACAACAAATTTTGGGTCAACACGTGAACGCTGCTAATGATTCCCTACAATGTGTTCAGAAATGCGACCCCGCGTAAGACTTAGTGGGTCACAAAATATACACTACGTTTGTTTTTTCATATAAAAAAAACACACACACACAAATTTAATCATTTTTCTCGTCACTGTAACATAGTTTTGCCATGTTTTTTTTACATCATATTACCTCTTCTTCAACTTTAGAAATAATAAACACGCAAAAAATGTTACACTTGAAAAAAAAAATGAATTGATTAATTATTGTTAGAAGTAAAAGATACAATATGGCACTTTTATAACAGATCTATGTCGAGTTCGAACCGAGTACGACATTTTGAGAAAGTGCACGGGCGAAGGGAACGGTGGCATGGCTTAGAGCACGTGACTTTTTGAGTAAAAATATAAATAATATCTTTTTGTTTGAATAAAATTTTTATAGTATTTCAAAATCATATTTTTTTTATTAAGCATGTTTTGATCCGTGTAAAATACTAATAATTATGAAATTATAAATATTATACTTCATTTAAAAGCTTTATAATATTTTTTTATAAATAATTAATTTATAATGATACATATATTACATAATAATATAAAAAACTTGCAATTCTTAATCATCCTATTTAAGCTGATAATACGATAAACTTTAAATAGGCTTTCATTCAAATTCTTATAATAAAATATTTTTTAAATAGGCTTTCATTTAATCCAGCCAAAATCTTTAAAAAAATTACTATAACAAGACATTGACGAGATTCATGCCTTGTTTATCTAAAACATGTCGAACTAAGGTATACTAAAATTTGACTCGATTTCTTCTATTTTTCACAAGTAATTATAACAAGAAAAATGCTAGAAATAAAATTTTGTAAATCTTACGGCTCAAATTTAATTACCCCTTCTATTGATTTAGAGTGGTCAAGCAATAGTAGCATTAATAAACTACAAAGCTTTCTTGAAGGAACCGATCCATACGAGTTATAAATTCTGACTAAAACAATTGCAGCATTTTTTAATTAAAAAAACTAAAATATTTTTCTCATTATATTTTTTTATTTTGTTCAAAAATTTGTACTTATCAATGGTAACAAATTTAGATATAAATATCATTATATATTTTATTTAAACTTCTGAATATACTCAAAATTTTATACCCCTCAACAAAATTATATTTCTTTCATATTGTTTATGTCTTATTTAATTATTATTGTTACTAGTATGAATACAATCATTAGATTTTTAACTAATATATTAATTAATTTAATGACCATTTCGATTTTAAAATCAGTCTAATAGCCAGTGTTATATAAAAGCTTTATTATTATCTTAAAAAAAATATAAAGAAAAAACCAATATAAACACAGATTACAAGTTTCTTTAATAAACTTGTTCAATTGTTATGTTCAACCAGATAGAAGGATTAATGCATCCTTATAAGTGTTTTCTCTTTATTTTTCTTCGTATATAGTTTAACAAATTGTTTCGGAAAATGGGGTAAAAGATTATTCTTTCACTTGTTATTTTCTATTCTATCTAGGATTGTTCTTGTAAAATCTATTTTTTTCTTTACTTCTTTAAAATCTTAATAGAGCGGTGGGTTAAACAGCTCATAAGTATGTTTTATTTTGTTAATCATATTGAGTTTATGTTGATGATTTTAATATGTACGTTACTGAAGAATTACTTATAGAGACGATGGTCTATTGGTGAACCATGGTCTCCAAAATTATTAGAAAGTATTTAGAAAGTACTGATTCTTATGAGAATAGACCATCCGGTCTTATGAGAGTAAGGGATGTGTTGACCGGACGGTCTATCAAGCACATAAATTATTATTTTTCTTTAAACTTTAAAATAAAATATTTCCTTCTTTTCTATTTAGATTATATTTGTTTAAAGAAAACATTGTTTTAATAAGCCTATGGTGTAAGGAAAGAAAAGGGGCTAAAATATGTGATTAGTGAGATTTGACACTAAAAAGAGTTTGGGAAATGGTGGTTATTGAAGAAAAAAGAGTGATAATATGTGAAAGGGATGTTTGAGGAGGTGAGTCAACATGAGTCGATAATGGCGATGTGTGGTGTGTAGTTAGAGACGAGGATCCCCCACGTTCTTCACGCATTTAATTCTGTCGCTACTCAAACCATCAACTTCTCCAACTTCCTTCATTAATACTCTTAATTATCCCTCTGCTTAAATTAACCCTCCTAATTTTTAATATTAATGTTTCTCAGCTTCAAATCTAAGTGAAGATTTTCTTTCTGATTAAATCGTGTTTCAACTTTCTCGCTTGAAGAGAATCACTAGCCTTGATAGATGGCATTGCAGCTTCAAGCTTAATATTACTAATTTTCTTTTCTTTCTCTACCTCAAGAATATTTCAATAATTCGCATTACTTTAAGAGGAAATGGCTAGAAATTTGCGGTGGCTTTTTAATGGAATCGCCTGATAGAAAGAAAAAATAAAAATAAACTACTGTATTGGAATTACACTTTCAATTAAAAGAATAAATAAAAGTATACCACATACCTTTGATAAAGTGATATCTTCTTAATACTTAACAAAAGAGATGTTATCATATATTAATAATAAATATGTAATTTTTCTCAAGATAGATTATCTTAACATTATATACCTTTTAAAGAGATATCTGATACTAATATTTAAATCAACTTTTATCTTTATATTAATTTTTTATTTATTCATATTATTTAACATAAAATTTTGGTGAATATTTACTCAAAATAATATGTATTTCTTTTAAGAAAAGTCTTACTAATTAAAAAAGAGTAATTTTAAAACATAGTTAAATTTTGACATCAACATTTTCATATTTATTTGGAAGCAATGCAACATCAAAGTCATGTTTTCTAAATACTATGATATCATTGCTTCTTCTTCAATGCAAACCCCTGACACACACTAATAAATTTGTTGACGTTGTTCTTTCTACTTGTAATTTCCATAAACATATTGACAATAATAATAATTTATTGTTGATAATTTGTGCACCCAAAGGCACCTTTCACACAATTATTATCCATCATCACCATTTCAAATAGGAGAATATATAACTTCAACAAAGTCATTAGACAAATAAAAATCATCACTACAGATACTAAATGTATATATCCAATTGTTTTTCTTGTTTTCTTGTTTAAAATCTGAACTTTGGTGAATATGTAATTGAAAAGAAGAAGTTTATATAGAAGCTATGAGATGAAATGTTAGGTGGAAAGATTTGCAGCATAAAGTGTGAATACGTGGATTCAGATGTATCACCAAAAATATGCTATAAAAGTAGAATGACATTATTTTTGAATTGCATTTAATTAATACAAGGGCAATATCACTACGGTGGGTGACATCTAACACGCAATGTAAGCGCAAAACATGTCTTTTCTAGCTTAAGTCAGGACCAGACATGTTAACTAATATCAAAACAACCCTAATATTTTAATATTTCACTTTAAGGCGATTACGATTAGCCCAAGAAGCTAGAGGACGCTCGTAATACTTTTTTTTCCTGTCAACGATTAGAAAAAAACAGACTTATAAGCCTGGTACTCACGTGCTTTGTTTTTTTTTTTTTTGTCTCAATAACTATAAGAGTTTTTGAGTTTGGGTAAGTTGTGTTTGTTTGTGGACACTTCTCCTTGCACCTTTAATTTTTTTTCTTTTAATTTCTATTTTTTTTAATGTCACTATCCGGCTTTTGCACCAAAGTAGGCAAATATGCCTCTAATATTACCAAAATTGTCAAATTCAAACCATATTACGAAAATGTGGAAGTCGTGGGGGGCCCAAACGACTTCAATTTAAGAAGTTGTGCCTCCCCTGCACGACTTCACACTGTTGATATTAACAGTGTTGAAGTCGTGCACCCCAAAAACGACTTCTGACGACGGTAATCGATTACAACGTAACGGTAATCGATTACAGAGTGTTGAAATCGTGACCACCCTACACGACGCCCGAACGCGAGCTTCTCGCAAAAACTGGCGCCCGGCGTCCCTCTTTTAGCTGGACGAGCGTCCTGTCTTGCGTCCACAGGGCGAGCGTTCTCTTCTCGCTGGACGAGCGTCCTCTCGTGCGTCTTCGCTGGACGAGCGTCCACTTCTGCTTGCAAGACGAGCGTCCACTGCGCGTCTTTTCTTGACTAGCGTCCTCTTCTGCTTGCTTGACGAGCGTCCACTGCTCGCTCAGAGCGCAGAGTGCTTCTTGCTACACAATCAAGCTGGTAATCGATTACCGAAATGTCGTAATCGATTACCTGTACGTTTTCTGCCTGGTCACCATTTCAACACTCTGTAATCGATTACCAAATCAATGTAATCGATTACAGGACCCAGAAGTCGTTTTTGGGGTGCACGACTTCACACTGTTGTACAGTGTGAAGTTGTGCAGGGGGGGCACGACTTCTTCTTTTGAAGTCGTTTTGGCCTCCCACAACTTCACTTTCGATCAAATTTTGCCTATTTTGGTAATAAAGAAGGCATATTTGCCTACTTTGGTGCAAAAGCCTCACTATCCTTTTGCTGAAGGAATATGACACTAACATATTAAGTGAATGTAAGAAGATACTAAAATCATTCAAAAATAACTTGTTATATTTCATTTTTAGCATTTATTTTCTTTTAATTTAATATTTTTAAATAAAATCATATTTAATAAAGTAGAAGATGAATGGTAGAAAGAAAAAGAAGTATTTTAAAGTTAACTTAATTGAAAAAAGTAATTTAATAGACATTGAAATGAAAAATTATAAAGAAATAGAGCAACATAAAAGATGATTGGTTATTTTTGGTGGAAGGAGGAATGGCGAGGTGCTTTCAGCAAAACCCCCAATTAATTCATTCCATAAATAAACTAGTTATCTAAATACCCATTTGCGTTTCAATTTTCTTCATTTCTCTTTTACGTCTCCATGGCCTCAGATGCTTCCTATGACAAGAACAATGTGTTTCGGAAACTCAAGGCAAAGTCTGAAAACAAGGTTCATCATTATCCATATAATTTCTTATTAATTATGTCTCCTTCTACTTCACATCCTTCTCTGCATTTTCTTTTAGATGTGTTTCGATTGTAATGCAAAAAATCCAACTTGGGCCTCCGTCACCTATGGGATCTTCCTCTGCATCGATTGTTCCGCTGCACATCGTAGTCTCGGTGTCCATGTCAGTTTTGTCAGGCAAGTTATAATCATTAATATTTCCGCTCTCCGTGTTAGGACTAAATCTTCTCGCTTTAATATTTTCCCTACCTTCAGAATTCATCAAACACAACAAATAATGCACATGGATATTGTCATTTTTGCAGCTAACAGACATACAACGTTAAAAAGGGTATTAATAACATGGTGTTTGTCGAGGTTTATGAACATTTGCATGTTTCGATTTGGTTTTTATTATTGCATTGTTGAATGAGTATGATTTGTGGAAGATATATAGGATTAGGATTTGCAAAATGAGAACATTGATTATTATATGTTTGTTTTGTAGATCAACAAACTTAGACATGTGGAGTCCAGAGCAATTGAAAACGATGAGCTTGGGAGGAAACAACCGTGCACGAAATTTCTTTAAGCAGCATGGTTGGACTGATGGTGGTAAAGTAGAGGCCAAATATACATCAAGAGCTGCGGAGTTATATAGACAAATTCTTTCTAAGGAAGTAGCTAAAAGTATGACAGATAAGGAGGTAGATTCACCATCATCGCCTACTGCTTCTCAGTTTGAACAAGTTGTTGAAGAACTTCCTCAAGTAAAGACTAATGAATCCCCAAACGAAAGTGCTTATTCACACACAACAGTTTCTAATACTGTCAGAAAACCTATATCTGCTAAAAAAACAAAAAAAACTGTCGGACTTGGTGCTAGAAAGCTTACTAGAAAGGTATATATACTTTTATTTGCATTCATATTTGAAGAAATGTGTTGTGTTTGTTGGTTAATTATGATATCAGGTCTCACAAAATTTGAAAATGCCTATGTATGATATGCAGTCATGTGAGAATCTGTACGAGCAAAAACCAGAAGTACCAGCAACCGCAGCAAAGAAGCATACACTTTCAGGGTCATCATCTACATCACGATTTGAGTATATAGAAAATGACCAATCGGTTGATTTGAATTCTAAAGGCAAGGGTCGCTTAGTAAGGCATGTATCCTTACCAGAGTCATCAAGCGTCTTTGTAGACTTCTTAATGGATAGTGGTTCTCCAAAGGAATTTGGGTCAAATTCATCAAAAGACACAGTAAGCTATCCTTAGAAAACTTAACTTTTAGCTAGAAAGAATATTTCGTTTTATCTATTATACTAAAACTTTCTTTTATTACAAAACTTCCATGCATTACCATAAATATTGTTGGTGTTCTTTGTTTGATCACATGGTACTTTTTTTTTTTCATGATGTCCATACATTGTATATTTCTAGGTAAAACTTTTGGTAAGATTGGAAAACAACATCATCCCCATTTTTTTAAATGTCTTTTAACATTTTTTTTCCTATTTTAGTGTTTTTTGTTTTGTTTTAATCATAGTAAAAAAGATATATTTACTTGTTTTAGTCTTATAAATATTTTATTATGTTGAGTTAATCCCTTTAAAAGTATTTTAGATGGACAAGAAACAATTAATCTACTTTTTATAGGGACAAAAACAAAAAAAAAATATGCTTTAATAAAATGGAGAAAGACTTACGAAATAAAATGTATACTAACCAAAAGTTAAAAAATAACAAAAAATGACCATATTATATGAACAAAAACCTATTAAAAGCATAATATTTTATCTTTGGAATCTATAATTTTGTTTGGACATCAAACATTAACATTAACCTATGACGTTGAAGGAAATTACACTCTTTAATGTCCTTAAAACACACTATACTTCTACTCTCAGACATTTAGTAATTTTTGTGGACTCTTAATTTCATTCAATTTAGGACAAAAAAAACATATTGAATTTTAGTAACTAAACTACTTTATGTTTAAGGATACATTGTGTTTATAATACATGATCCCACGACATAACCATTAGACACCAAACATAAGTTTTGTATAACTATCTCATTTGACCTCAACCAACCATGATTAATCATCTATATATAATATTTGTATATGTTTTGGGGTTATTTTCATTTTAATTCGGTTCTTATTTTTTGTCTTGGATCACCACCCTTACTAGATTCAGGAGTCCAACGAAGCAAGAAAGAAATTCTCAAATGCTAAATCAATTTCTTCCTCTCAATTTTTTGGAGATCCAAACAAAGATGCAAATGATTCAAAAGTTATCCTCTCAAAATTTTCAGTAAGTGTCCTTATTAATAAATGTTTGAAACATGGTTTGAAATTATACAATTTGTTAGAAAATTAAAATGTGAGTTTATGTTTATATTGAATAAAAATGAAAAAAAAAACTTACAAAATAATTTTTTTTTAAGTTTTAGATAAAAATTGATATCAGTTCTGTGTAAATTTGGTTCAAGTTTCATTGTTTTAAAATGTATTTAGATAAATCATGGATGAATGGAACAAAGTTAGATAATTTTTTTTTTCATTTCTTTCACCATGCCATAATGCATACTAACATTTTTTTTTTCAAATAAAAGTTATTTATAAAAATTTATTCTAAAGCTTAAATTAGCCTTAAAAAATAGCTAATGTTACTTACACACTTGTGTTATTTTCATGGCATGTTTATAGACATTGTAATCATAAGTTCGTAGCAATTGAAAACCATTATTATGATAAATAATTTAACACAAGCTAAATATGAACAATCTTGGCAAAATTTTCTTACTTTTTATTGTTATAATTAGAAATAAAAATCTCCGAAGTCTAAATTTTGGTGTTTGAGTGATGGTTCTCTTGTATTTTCAGGATTCAACTTCCATTTCTAGTGCCGATCTTTTTGGTAACTCTTCCAATGTTGATGTTGATGCTAATGACCTCCTTAACAGACTATCTTTCCGTGTATGTTTCTGGATTTATAAATTTTATTATTCATGTTTATATAAGGCCACCTTAGATATTATCATGATTTTTGCTATTTTAATTATATTCACACTTTTAAATTTATTAATAATTTATTATTATATGAAATTTAATAATAAATTATTGTGCTGTTTTGTAGGCTTATGAAGACATTTCTTCTCTCAGAAATATGGCTGGTGAGACTGGGAAGAAACTCAGTTTCTTGGCCTCCAATCTGATAACAGATATTCAGGATAGAACAATGTAAGAGTATAAGCTTTTTATATAAACAAATTATATAGTTGATATCCATTAAATTTGGTATAGTCGACAATCACCTGTGTATCAAATGTAATTATAGTACAACATATAAAATATTTTTTAACAAGGGTTTCACATCACTAATAAAAAATTATTTTCAACACAAACTGAAATGCTATCTTCTGAAATTTCTTAATATATATTAAGTAATTATAATATTCCGCTTTAATTATTTCCAATACAAAAAAAAAATTCTAATCAGTATCTCAAAAGATAAGTAAACTATATATCTTATAATAACTAGTTATAATGCATAACTTTACCATTTTCCTTATTAGTTACTTAAATGTTTTGTTTTTATTTTGTTAACTAGACTCTTTTTTTTCGTAGCTTTTATTTTAGTTACATATACATTTAATACGTTACTTTCACAACTAGTCAGCTGTTTTCATGATTTTGATATAAAAAGATAAAGTACATTTGATAATTTACAATAACAATATCTTAATTATATCTGTATTATTTTTTATCTCGTTTAAAAATTATAACATATATTATTATGTTATTGAATAAAAGGTGTCATGTATGTATTTTTATTATTCAGATTATCAAAGTATTTTTTTTTTCTTTTTACGAAAAATGTTATTTTCATTATTTCTAAATTTCATGTAAAATTATGTTACAAATTCTGATAAATTTTTAATCTATAAGTTGGGTGGTAATATTTAAATCCCATTAAATATAAAATATTAATTCTATAACTTAAAACAATATTTTAACTATATATTTTTTAACTTAAAATTTTAATATACATTATTCTATTTATTAAGTGAATTGTAAAATTGATGTACGATGTGAAAAAAAGGACTATATTGTTCTTATATGTTTTGAGCTGATACTTTAATTTGTTATATTATAAAAATTTTGTAAAATTAGCAGAAAAAACTAATTGGTAAGTGTTAAATGATTAAGATGACAATGTATCGGGTTGAGTCGGACATGGATAGTGTTTATTCGTTACTTTATCCATAACAAAAAGATACACTAGTTACATGTTTAATTACTAATCGAATATCCGTTTAAAAATATACGTGGATATTTTAAAATTTGTGAATACACATAAATATCTGTAAATATTTAAAAAATATATTTGATAAATTTTAAAAATAAAATTACAGAAGAAAATATAAAATTTAATATGAACTACATTAAATATAAGTTAAAATTTAATTTTAATTAATTTTAACTTAATAAAATATAAATTAATTTTAATCAAAATTATATTAATTTAATGAAATATAAATTGATTTTTTATTTTAACATTTTATGGATAATACATATACTATAGTACCGACCCATTTATAAGCAGGTATTGAAATAAATGCCTCGTAATACCAATTATCAGTATTTTTTTCACTAAAAATTATATGTAAGTTTTATTATAATTTTACATTTTTTTAAATGATGAATTTTTTATTAAATTTTTTAGTACTTTTATTTATTTTTTAAAAGTAGTAAATATTTTTTTAACAAATCATTTTAGTTAAATAAGTTGATATGATGAGTATTAATCAATTTTTTTTTATTTCTCAATTTAAACTACTGTTACAACGATATTTTTTTTTTGTAATTTTTATTGTGTATAATTTTTACGTATCATCATCTAATAAGTATTAATTACAATGTATACATAATTTTTTTTTTCAATTTGAACTGCATAAAAAATTGTAAGGAAACCCAACAAATAAAAAAAAGTAGTGTAATAATTAATTGTCTTTGTAATCTTGAAATAAGTAAAAAGAGATTAAGAATAATAAATTAATGTATTGAAATATAAAAGATCATAATAAAAGAAAAATAAACCATATACAAACCAAAAACTAGCTGAAATAACTTCATAGCATAAAAAATGTTAGTTATAAAAATACAAATAACGTAATAAATGTTAGTTATAAAAATACAAATAACGTAATTTTTTTGTGTGAGAGTTAGGGCTGGGCATAATTAGTCTGTACTAAACTGTATATGTACTATAAAAACTAAACTATTTTTATTAAAAGTTAAATTATACTGTTTTGCAGTTCAATTTAAAAAACTGAACTTTTATATCCGCAGTTAACTGGCAGTTAACCATCTTGCTTGCTTTATAATACTAAAAACTTAAATAAAATTTAATTGCATAAGTTACATAAAAAGAATTGATCAGAAAAACTTTAACAAAATCTATTCATTTATAAATTGCAATAATATAATAATTTTCAGTAAAAATAAATACTTAAATGAAAAATAATAATAAATTAGTATAATATATAATTATGAAAAGTATGATATACAAATATAAATTCATGATTAAGTTACATGTTTTATTAGAAAAAAATAATTCATACCAATTTGTAAATAGTATTAAATGTGTCTTTTCTTTTTTGTCTTAAAATTATTTCAGAATAAGTTTTGAAAATTAATTTAAATTCTTAAAGTATTTTTTGTTAAAGTAACACTTAAAATTGTAATTTTAGAAATTTAATTTAGGATATTTGTTTATTCAAAAACACTTTTCAATAACTTTTATTTAATAAGAAAACAAATAGTTCATTTATTTGAGTTATGATAAAAATGTGTTTTTCTTATGTTTGCGTTTGATATGTTTGCGTGGTTGTAAAGCTTATTTATTTGAAGCAGTTTTGGTCACCTTGTAAAGCTCATTTATTTGAAGCAGTTAACTAGTTAACCGAACTACTAATTCAAAAGTTCAGTTTTTTTTAAATTTAACCATAAAACAGTATAATTCAGTTTTTAATAAAAACAATTTAGTTTTTATAGTACGATATAATATAGATAATCTATAGTTTAGTATAATTAGGTTAATTATGCCCAACCCTAGTGAGAGTAGATTGTTTATTTTTTGCATTCATGTTCTTATTTCTTCTATATAAATGCTTGTGACAGTAGTTTTTGTTAAGCAATAGGTATGATTTCCCTTTAGGTATGATTTTCCTTTAATCTTGACATGCACAAATTACTTGATTGAGAACATGTAAAATAATAGTTTTAAATATTAATTTGAATACCATCTATTTTTTTTGTATAATGTTTCTACTTTTGACATTGATTTTGAATGAATGATTAAATCAGGTAACTCAATCGTATTTGAGAATTAGTTTTATAAACAATTAGTTTTATAAGTAAAAATGAGATTAATTATGTTGTAAAGTTTTTTTTTGTATAAATTATGTATAACCACTATAGTTGTCTGATCATGTTCGTGTATAAAAGGTTATATTCTTATCACCATAAATTGTTCATGCTTATTACCATATATGTACGTGTGGATAAATATGTATGTAATGCTTAAGAAGGAATATTAAGTTAATGTTTGTTGTATTTATTAAAATGAACATTTTGTAACTCAAACATCCAGACAATAAATTGATTGGTATGACTTGTTTGAATTTTAACAACACCTGTTTTTTTTATAATCATAAATATGATAAGTTTTTAATTGACTATTAACGTAATAACTTTGATTAATCCTGACAAAACATATAACAAGATAACAAACATAAAATATAGAAAATGTAATTCCCATGCAATTATACTTTCGAAAATGTTTCTTTAATAATTATTTTTTACTATTTTATAATGTTAAGGTGACGATTAGTCTGTTTGAAATAATATTTTTAGAAATAAAAGCATAGTGTTTTTGGAACGAAATTTGTTTCGTGATTTCTGAAATATCATTTCAAAAAATGGTTAATTTTCTTATTTTCAACAACTTGAAATCTCTCTCTATCTCAAGTTTCTCTCTTTCACTCTTCTCTCTTGGTTGCCCACGGTTCTCGCCAGCTACCGTGACGTCTCTATTTTTTTCAACTTTGTTCTATGTGAGATTCATTTTTTTCAAATGTTCAATGTAGTCATAATTTCATAATTTATGTTCAATTTGGTACTTTTTGCTGACAACATTTAAATCGTTAAGGACACAGTATCCAGATTAGCTATCAATGAATGAGTTATTAGTTTTTTTTATATACATGGAAAATTAGAAGGAAATCTGGTATTTAAAAGTGGTTTTGTTGAAACCCTAATCTCCAAATTGTGAGAAATATGACCCAAAAACGCAAATGTCAAATTCAAAACCCTAACCTCCAAATCGCACCAACAATATGTAGATGAGCATTAAGAACACATGAAATTCCCAAACCAGAATATAAAAAACATAACGATTTCTCAAAACAACACCATATTTCAAATTTCAATTCGAAACCATAATCTAAAACGCAAAAAGGAATCCAAATTTCTCAAATCAGAAAACAAGATCATAAACCCTAAATTACAAGATTGGGACCATGATTTCCTCTGCTGCCGTTACCGGTACCCCTCACAACGCATCACCGCTGCCTTCGCCAACCACCGCGTCCACCTTTGCGGGTTGCTGCAAAGGAGAAAACTCTACCACTACGAGAACGCGTCTTCTCGTCGTAGAGACGTCACCGCTATGAAAGGAAGGAGAAGAATATCTCCCCGTGCGATGAAAGGAAGGCGCTGGGCAGAGAAGGTAAGGGGTTCACGGTGATGATGCGGCGATAATGGTTGACCTGGATACTGTCCTGCTAACTATTTAAACGTCATCAACCAAAAGGAATATAAATTAAAAATAAAGGATTACATTAAACATTTGAAAAAAAATAATTCCACATCAAATAAAATGGACAAAAATAAAAACCAACAATGATATTAAACCTATTTTTTTATCATTATCGTTATAAAGTCATAGTTAAATCAAACTGGTTTTTGGACAAAGAGTTTTCATTATCATAAGGTATTATTGCAAGAATCTTGACTAATGGAGAACATTCAGAATCACAATATTTATATAATAATTAATTCTTTCTATTATCATTCATTTTTTTTTCTTATTATCATATAATTTAGATAATAATGAATTTTTCGGCTCAGTGGGCAGTAAAAATAAAAATAAAAATATTTAGTTAACAATTATTTTTTATT